GCACTACGCTCTGCATCAGCCAAACGACTCGTTGCGCCCTCGCTGCGAGGGGGACCCAAGTTCCCATCGGCGAAAACACGTGGGTTTGCTATCCTGGCTCCAAGATGGTGGAATGAGCTCCCCATTGACATCAGGACGGCAGATAGCTTGCACATCTTCCGGCGCAAACTGAAAACTCATCTCTTTCGACTCCACTTCGAGTGTTAGAACGATTAACGAAGCACTTTTATACCAATAAAGGACTGGATTACCTAAAGCCAGTTGAGTAGCACTTGAAATGTTTGGCTCTATGAAACCTGATATACTTATATGATTCTGTTTTCTTCAAGGTTGTGTCTTCCTGGTCGAATGTACTTATTGTAAGTCGCTTTGGACAAAAGCGTCAGCTAAATGCAATGTAATGTAATGTAATGTAATGTAATATATTTTGCTCTCTTTACAATAAATAGTTAAACTTAGAAGTTGTCTGTCTTTTCTGGAATTCTGAACCCAACAGCTCCCACAGGATTGCTGACATCCTCGTGGATTCATCTTCTTATTATAGACACATGCATTTCCAAACATTTGGTCTTTCCAAACATTTGGTCTACCTACGCTGTAAAATGTATATCTCTTCGATTTACACACGGCATCTATTGCACGTCTGTCCGTCCAGGGAGAGGGATCTCTGTTGCTCTCCCTGAGGTTTCTCCCATTTTCCCCTTTAAACTGTGGGGTTTTCTCTGGAAGTTTTTCCTTGTACGATGTGAGGGTCTAAGGCACATGTGTCAAACTCAAGGCCCGGGGGCCAAATCAGGCCCTTGGTGGATTTAATTTCGGCCCGTTGGATAATGTTGAATTACTATTAGATCTGGCCCGCCGGTATATTGCACGCACACTCAATCCTGAGGATTTCCCCAGCTCAGAGCCTGACCCCAAACATTGATGAACTTGCACCCAAGATGAGATGCCAAGTATCTGGCTTGAACTAGCGTCACAGAGCAGCACACTGACTTTACATGGATGTTTCCTTCTGCACTTTCTCTCTCACGACAACAGGGCATGTTTGTTTTTTCTTTGAGGGAAATAGTTTTTTTGAAGCTGTTGTTGGCCTGTGGAAAAATGTAATCATAAGAAATGACTCTGGAAAAGCTGCAGATAGAGCCATAAGAAATTAATGCAACTGATTATTTAATGTTTCATGTTGTTTTTATAGGCAATAATTTAAGCTTTGTTAGTTCCAGGTTAAATATGTGCAATAAGTTAATTTCAATAAGTTCTGCAATAAAAATTGAACCAGTCCGGCCCTCGACTAGTACCGATTTTTTATTTTGGCCCACTGTGTATTTGAGTTTGACACCCCTGGTCTAAGAGGGTGTCGTATTGTCATACTGATATTCTGTACAAATTATGAAGTCCACTGAGACAAATGTAACATTTGTGATATTGGGCTATATAAATAAACATTGATTGATTGATAGGTAACACGGCAGGGTCCGTGACAGTTTGTTTTCATCTGATTTCAAATAAGTCTTGGCTTTCAGAATATTAAACTTGTTTTCCGCAAATTCAGATAATAAATACAACTTTGAAGCTTGTAACGGCATAATTACAAGCGGAGAACGGAGTAACTTAACGTCACAGCAGGCATAACAACAGCCGGTGCAAAAATACACAAATATACGCACACATACACTCGCGAGCTTCCCCCAGACTAGTAATCCAAACAAAAATATTTTCCCTCTGTAGTATTTTGATAATTTGCTCCGCTAATAATCAATCAGATCGATGGATTCCAGAGAAGAGGAAACTTTGAAGGTCTTTTTCTCAAAATTATGACTCGGTGACAGTCAATATATAATGTGACATATTTTAATATTTGGAGTACAAAAACAAACCTGATATTATTAGAAAGCTAGGAATGTTCTCTTTCCAACAGTGTATATTACTCAAAACATCTTTGCTTCGCCACTACGGAGGCCGAGAGCCGCGTCACAGTTATCAACAAACAGGGCCGTCCCTCCCTACAGGCCGATCATGCAGGCTGCATGGGGCTTCACATTGCGCAGGGGGCCTCAGCTTATGAGCTTGGCTTGTGCGCAGTTCTCTGCGCACCCGTCGGTTGGGGGGGGGGGCCTCATCTCACAATGTCGCTTGGGGCCCCAAGTTGCCCAGGGACGGCCCTGTCAACAAACATAGAAGTCTAGGAGAAAGATACAAAGCGCACCGAAAAATACCTACAAATCAAACGTTTGGCAACACTTAGGGAAAACCTTAAAGTAAGACATCAGGGTATATGCAGGAATCCTGAAATCAAATTTAATACCTTTTAAGACCTTTTTCATACATTTTAAGACCTCATCGCAACTTCGAGTTCTAACCGGTTACATAGAGAACCGCAGTGACGCATCCTAAAACCCGGATGTAAACTCCTTCTTCAAAAACGCAATGCAATTTCTCCATAGGATTTTGGAAAATAGCTCGAAATAAGGTCTGTGGTTGACACACATTTAGGAGACGGATCACGTTTTGTTCAGCCGGATAATATCCACATGTCTATCCTACTTTTAGAATTTTCGAAGCATAAATCTAGTCGCAAGAAGCAAAATGCTAACGTTATGCTATAAAGGAACTACAGCAGGGTCGCTGCTTCAACGTCACACCAACTTAAGATCCATATTCAAACATACAGATTGTAAATGGTACAAGTTGAAGTGTTTGTTTGAACAGTTTGCAGGAGGCAGGTACTTGCTTTCAAGCAGAACAGGGCAAACAAACTTAGCGGGAGTGTTTACGTGTTCGGTGTAATGACGTAAAACGGCCTGGACAACTTCTGTAGTCCTATTCAGCCACTTGTTAACAACCATCGTTTTTCAGACATGTAAACTCTTTAAAAATCACCAGCGGGGTCACTGCTGATGTATTTAATGTCGTAGAACAAAACGTGATCCGTCTCTTCAATTTGTGTCAAACACAGACCTTATTTGGAGCTATTTTCCAAAATCCTATGGAGAAATTTCATTGCTTTTTCTCGAAGGAACCGGCCGTGGTAAAAATGCTAACTTACTTCCGGGTTTTAGGACGCGGCGAGGCAAGGCAAGGCAAGTTAAGTTTATTTATATAGCACTTTTCAACACAAGGCAATTCAAAGTGCTTTACAAAAAATGAAAGACATTAAGAAAAGGGCATTTAAAAGCAGTCATTAAAAAGAAAAGCTAATAAAATTAAAGCTGCGAGCAGCGTTGAGCGGGTCTTCGACGTTCCGCAGGCTGTTGTCCGCACGTCGACGTGTGTAGGTGTCTCGAGGACTGGGCCGTTGGCAAACGTGCGAAGTTTCAGGCCGATCGGACAATGTCTTTGAGTTACAGCAGTAACACAAACGATTTTGTTTAATGGTGGGCGATCTGTGTCCATGGCAACGGCATTTGATGACACCCCATAATACGCCTAGATGTGTTGAGGGCTGCATCGTTATCAAACCGGTGAATGTTTGTGCCGTTTGGAGCATGTTAACAGGATTTATGAGAAAACCATGTTTCAAGGCGACAATTTGGTTACCATAGCAACGATATTTGAATAAATGTCAAAAGTTCCACATATATGTCTCGAGGGCTTGACGGTTAATACACATGTACAGTTAGAACAGTTTTTGACCATTTACACAGGATTTATAGCAATATCGTGCTTAACGGCGAGGGGTGTGTTGCCACGGCAACATATTTTGAGGAAAAGTCACTATTGTCATATTGAGGTGTTGAGGGCCGGACCATTAACTGTCATCTGAAGTCTGGTGCAGTGTGGATCATTTTCCATTGAATTAGGAGAAGATCAGGTTTTTTGGCGAGGGACGCGTTGCCATGGCAACACATGACATAGAGCTGTTGAGGGCCGGACCATTAATGATAGTCTGAAGTCTGGTGTCGTTTGGACGATTTTCCATTTAATTAGGACAACACCGTGTTTCATGGCGAGGGAGGCGTTGCCATGGAAACGGCATACGGTGAGATTTCCGATTTCACGTAGAGCTGTTGAGGGCCGGACCATTATCGGACAACATCAGGTTTTTTGGCGAGGGACGCGTTGCCATGGAAACGGCATATGATGACATCCCATAATTGACATAGAGCTGTTGAGGGCCGGACCATTAATGATAGTCTGAAGTCTGGTGCATTTTGGACCATGTTCCATTGAATTAGGACAATATCAGGTTTTTTGGCGAGGGACGCGTTGCCATGGCAACGGCATGTGAGGACATCCCATAATTTGCATAGAGCTGTTGAGGGCCGGACCATTAATGATAGTCTGAATTCTGGTGGCGTTTGGAAGATTTTCCATTGAATTACAACAACACCAGGGTTTTTGGCGAGGTAGGCATTGCCATGGCAACGACATATGATGACATCCCATAATTGACATAGAGCTGTTGAGGGCCGGACCATTAATGATAGTCTGAAGTCTGGTGCATTTTGGACCATTTTCCATTGAATTAGGACGACATGAGGTTTATTGGCGAGGAAGCGTTGCCATGGCAACGACATATGATGACATCCCATAATTGGCATAGAGCTGTTGAGGGCCCGACCATTAGCCGTCATATGAAGTCTGGTGGCGTTTGGAAGATTTTCCATTGACTTTCAACAACATCGTGTTTTTTGGCGAGGGATGCGTTGGCATGGAAACGGCATACGGTGAGATTTCAGATTTCACGTAGAGCTGCTGAGGTATGTACCGGTGATATAAAAGTGAATATTGGGGGACGATGGGACCGTGTCCATTGGAGTTACAGCGACAACGTTGTTTATGGCGAAGGATCCGTCGCCATGGTAACGCCAAATAAAGTAATGTCAGATTTGACCTAGAGCTGTTCAGGGCTGTAGTGTTAACCATCATGTGAAGTTTGGTGGCGTTCTGAGTATGTCAGTTGGAGTTATGACATCATCGTGTTCCATGGCGAGGGACCGCCTAAAATCGAGCGAACGCAACTTACATACTCAATAGTGTGGGCAATCCCCACAGGAGCAATTTGGGGTGAAGTGTCTTGCCCAGTGGGGTTTGAACCTGTGCTCCCTTGATCCAAACACCAATGCTCTATCCACTGCGCCACACGCCTCCAGATATGCTAGTAACCCACAGCTTAAATGAAGTTGACACCAAATACATACCTGGTGTTTGAATATTGCTGATTTCTTTGCCCCTCCCTGACATAGAATAGGCAGGAGCACAGTGGAAGACTGACTTTCCAGCTTTGGATCTTGTGCAGGTCACCTTGGTGGAGAGAAATGTTAGTGGAAATGCTACATATTTGTGATATATTTATTTAATCTTCAATGTGGTTTCTTACCATCTCAGGATAGTATGCACCAGGTCCTGGAGTCTTTGTAGATACCCCAGGTGAAAAGTTGCGGCCTGTCATGCTGATCTGAGGAAATCTTTTCATGTAAATATTAGGGTCCACAACGTTGTACGCAGCAGGGCCTGGAGTCTGGAGGGGAACACAATTATTGAAAAATAACTACATCCCAGGATTTCAGGATTTATTGTTTAAGACATGTGTTTGACACTTATATGTACCTTACTTAGGTCCTCATAGAAGTTGCCATGTTTGTTGCGGCCACAAAGAGAGAAAGAGGGAGCTGTGGATTTGACCACAGTGTTGTTTCCCAGCAGAGGGGGCAGAGAGTAGGAGGCTGGACCTGCAGCAGGAGCAACATACAGGGGAAGTTGATATGCATTACATGTTACTTGTTACATTACATGTTACTTGTTAGACGCTTTTATCCAAAGCGACTTACATACTCAATAGTGTGGGCAATCCCCACAGGAGCAATTTGGGGTGAAGTGTCTTGCCCAGTGGGGTTTGAACCTGTGCTCCCTTGATCCAAAAACCAATGCTCTATCCACTGCGCCACACGCCTCCAGATATGCTAGTAACCCACAGCTTAAATGAAGTTGACACCAAATACATACCTGGTGTTTGAATATTGCTGATTTCTTTGCCCCTCCCTGACATAGAATAGGCAGGAGCACAGTGGAAGACTGACTTTCCAGCATTTTCTGGGGAGTATGTGGCTGAAAACCACAGAAAGTTTTTATCACAAATGAATGTATGCATCATGACAAGAACAGCATATTTCCAATTTTGAGTGAGTAGTCGGAGATTTGATATCAGCCTTGTTTCATTTTTTGCAAATGTGCAAGGGGGTTTGCTGACCTGGTCCAGGGGTCTGGAATAGTTTTGGATCCTTTGGACGGCTGTAGAGAGAATAAGCAGGAGGGCGTACTCTGGTGATGTTGGAGGGAATGAGGTAGCTCGGTCCAGGGGGGATCTCAGTCTTGGTTTCATGACGTGATCCAAAGGTACACTGCGGTGCTGTTTTCTTTGTAGGGTCATGTTTCGAAGCACCTTTATAAAGGAAACAGGGACAACAATGTGAGTAATAATAATATTAATCATAATTAAAGCTGCGAGCAGCGTTGAGCGGGTCTTCGACGTTCCGCAGGCTGTTGTCCGCACGTCGACGTGTGTAGGTGTCTGGAGGACTGGGCCGTTGGCAAACGTGCGAAGTTTCAGGCCGATCGGACAATGTCTTTGAGTTACAGCAGTAACACAAACGATTTTGTTTAATGGCGGGCGATCTGTGTCCATGGCAACGGCATTTGATGACACCCCATAATACGCCTAGATGTGTTGAGGGCTGCATCGTTATCAAACCGGTGAATTTTTGTGCCGTTTGGAGCATGTTAACAGGATTTATGAGAAAACCATGTTTCAAGGCGACAATTTGGTTACCATAGCAACGATATTTGAATAAATGTCAAAAGTTCCACATATATGTCTCGAGGGCTTGACGGTTAATACACATGTACAGTTAGAACAGTTTTTGACCATATACACAGGATTTATAGCAATATCGTGTTTAACGGCGAGGGGTGTGTTGCCATGGCAACATATTTTGAGGAGAACTCACTATTGTCATATTGAGGTGTTGAGGGCCGGACCATTAAGTGTCATCTGAAGTCTGGTGCAGTTTGGACCATTTTCCATTGAATTAGGACAACATGAGGTTTTTTGGCGATGGACGCGTTGCCATGACAACGGCATGTGAGGACATCCCATAATTGACATAGAGCTGTTGAGGGCCAGAGCATTAACTGTAATGTGAAGTCTGGTGCAGTTTGGACCATTTTCCATTGAATTAGGACAACATCCGGTGTTTTGGTGAGGGACGCGTTGCCATGGCAACGGCATGTGAGGACATCCCATAATTGACATAGAGCTGTTGAGGGCCGGACCATTAATGATAGTGTGAAGTCTGGTGCCGTTTGGAAGATTTTCCATTGAATTACGACGACATCAGGTTTATTGGCGAGGAACACGTGACTGGGCTAACGCGGCCTATCAGCCGTCATCATTTCCGAACGTTTTCTGTGCTTCTGCCGGTCGATTTCCCTGTTTTGTGTGTTTTTCGCAGGTTTATCGGTCGCTTCGCGACCGATTTCAATAGGGTCTTCGCCGACCTAGGTCTCAGACCCTAATAAACATTGAAAGAAAAAATACATGGATAAAAGTTACAGTGCAGTTTAAGATATGAATAGTTCAATTAAAAGCAGCGACAAAAAGAAAAGTCTTCAGCCTGGATTTAAAAGTAGTAAGAGTTGCAGCGGACCTGCAGGGCGACACACTTTACCTCACATTTACTATATTGATTGTAAGATAGCACAACTAAACAGAGTGCAGACAGACTACTGAAGCCTCCTTTCCACATTAACTTAAACCTCTCTGTCAAGGTCAGGTTTAATGCAGTATGCTGCGCTCTTTCATTCTAGTAAAACTCCTCAGAAACCATTAGAAACCAGTATTTGACCAATAAACAAAACAATTGACAAAACTTTGAACTATGAAATATATTAAACTTTGGTGAGCTTCAGCAGGGTAATGCCATATAGGTGCTCCCTCACAAATACCCAGGGGTTAAATTGGCCCGGTACATAGGACTCTGACGTCATCACCCTCACACATTTGTCATATGTTTACAAAAAACGATATATGTTAAGACTTTTCTCGTTCTTAATATAGACTATATTTAGGGTCGATATGTGTTGACTTTACTTTAAAATAGCAGATCTCTGTGACCGGATATAGTTTGGCTTAGTGAACATGTGTCTCTTCCTTGGAGACTCCGCTGCTCCTTCGCGGCTCCTCCGTGCAGCGGTGTGTGTCAGCGACGTGCAGTCAGGGGAGACACGGATTGGCCATCGGGAGAGTCGGGACTTAAAGAGCAACTTGCAGGTTAGAGACACCAGTGTAGGAAAATGATGAATACACTAGATTTTCCCAAAGATATATAGAAATATACACTACAGTGACATCTGGCGTCGTTTTAGTAAGACATTTTCACTTCCGCATAAAAAAGCCTCCGCACGTGACCTCCTGCGTGTGACGTAACATGGGGGAGAGCGGCCGGTCTAACGTATGAATAAACATGGATCACAATGCTAGTTTTTACACAGAAGAGGTTGAAAATATATATTCAAATGCATATGATTATAATTATGAGCCTGCTATGCGTCCAAGAGACCAGGAGCAGCCAAGGATTAGGAAAAATAACGGCCATCGGAGAGAAATGGAGCTTTGGTGTGTGGAGAACAGAGCTCTGTCTTGGTGAGTGGCCGGCGTTAGCTACAGTTAATGTTAGCTAACTTCAGTCACATCACAACATTGTAAAGTTAGCAATCATATATCAGGCTATAACTAAAGTAGTATTGATAATACAGTAACGTTACTGGCAGGACTGTTAATACTGATCCATAACAGAAACTAATGCGCAAGTATCAGCCGTATCTCGCGTTACCTAATGCAATTCCACACTACAGTGCTGTGTACCGGAGGGGAGACGCGAGATACGGCTGATACTTGACGATCTGGTGGAGAAAGGTTGTGGAGCCTCCGTTGATATGCCGTTGTAAATAGGCGCGTTCACACCGCAGTACTTTTCCCACTTTAGTTCCGAAATGTCGCGTTCACACCAAAAAGAGCCGGAACTAAAATTAGTTCATGAGAACCTTTTCACCCCCTTTTCCGTCCCTGCTAGAGAGCAGGGACTTTCGTGGGAGAAAAAGGTTCCTATGTCTGATTGGCTTGGCGGATTGCAGACCACGCCCCGTAAAACTCCCAAAAAGTTTTGTGAAGCCGCCATTTTATTATCCTCTTATTAGCATTATTAGCATTAGCCCAGCGAAGAAACGCAGAGAGACTAACTTATGGCAACACAAAATAAAACATGGGAGCGGTGGAGATGAGGAGGTGTCGGCGTTCTGGCGATTTACTCGGAAGGCTTCAGTAGAAGCTGCTGGGAGTCCCAGCAGCTTCTACTGAAGTCAGTCCCCAACTCCGGGGACTTCCGGCCGGGGACTTTGGGCGGCAGTATACGCCGTGAAGTGGTTTGCGGCCTGCCAGTAAACCTAAAGCAGAAGAAGAAGAAGTGACGTCAGCGGCTTCATTTGCCTAATCCTCCCCCAGGGACTTATTCCGGTGTGAACGCGATCTGTACTTAGTTCATGAGAACTAAAGAGTTCTCATGAACTAAGTTCTCATGAACCTTTGTGGGAAAAGTACTGCGTGTGAATGCGCCTATAGGCTTGATTGAAAGCAGGTGTGTAGTTGGGGAGGGTGCACAGCTGATTGCAGCAGGTGAGTGGAGGTTGAGCTGGGAGCCAGGAGTGACAGCCACCACGCCCACACAAACAACACAGACAGGGGGAAACAAACAAACACAAAGGAGACGGCTGGAGCAGTACAGCCACCACAGCGTTACCTAATGCAACTCCACATTACATCTTACGGTGCCGTGTACCGGAGGAGAGAGAGAGAGCAACGAAGGGGGGGAGAGAGATGTAATACGGTTTCCTGATAAAGCTGTGGAGAGTATGTGCTGCAGGGTTAGGTGGATGCACAACGCACCCAGGAACGAACGCTAGCTCCGGTCCTTTTCCCGTGAGGGAAACTGTGGACTCGATGTCCTGACAGGCTGGAGTTTGTGCAACCTGCACAAACACAAGCTCACCATGATTACAAATGTGACCCGCTCTATCGAAATCAGTCGGAAGTCGCAACGGCTCATTTCAAAATAAACGTGGATTTGCGTAAAAAACTATTTTTTCGGGGTTTGGGTGTTTTGTTTGATTTTAAACAAACAAAGTCTTGGCTTTCAGAATATGAAACTTTTATTTCCAAACTCACACGATAAATACATTCTTTAAGCTTGTAAAGGGAAGATGACAGGCAATCTGCTCTTCCGCAGCGCCGCCCCCCCCCTCCCTCCGGCTGACATTATGAATGTAAGCGTAGAGTAATCATAAATAACACGGCAGGGTCCGTTACAGTTTGTTTTCATCTGATTTCAATTAAAAAAAGTCTTGGCTTTCAGAATATTAAACTTGTTTCGGCAAATTCAGATGATAAATACAACTTTGAAGCTTGTAACGTTATAATTACAAGCGGAGAACGGAGTAATTTAACGTCACAGCAGGCATAACAACAGCCGGTGTTTCTCGTGAGGGTTTTCCCCGGGAAACAAACGCAATACACACAAACGCAAAATTACACAAACACACACACACACACACACTCGCGAGCTTCCCCCAGACCAGTAATCCAAACGAAAATATCTTCCCTCCGTAGTATTTTGATGATTTGCTCCGCTAATAATTAATCAGATCGATGGATTCCAGAGAAGAGAAAACTTTGAAGGCCTTTTTCTCAAAATGATGACTCGGTGACAGTCATTATATAATGTGACATATTTCGCTTAATATTTGGAGTAAAAAAACAATCCTGATATCATTAGAAAGCTAGGAATATCCTCTTTCCAGCAGTGTATACAACTCAAAATGTGTCTTCGGGTCAATGCGACTGATTTCGATAGAGCAGGTCACAAATGGTGAAATGCAATGTAAAATTACCGAAAAATACCAGCTCACTAAATCACAACCGCTCAAACTACAAACTACTACCGCGGATTGGGCAGAGAACGAGTCCGAGAAAGTTGCTCCCCCATGTGACGTAATATGACGCGTTTGACGTATGACGTTAAAAAAAAAGCAGTTTTTAGTAGCAGAGCTCAAAACGGCTCCTTTTCCTCTAAATTCTGGCTAGCACTTAGCATGTGGGACCGGACAGCTTTGAACCCCATCGACAGACTCTTTCTCCCCCCCCCCCCCCACAGAGCGGAGCGAGGCAACATTTTACGTACGGCGTGCTATGCATGGGGCCGCCTTGAGGGGGTTTCCCGACATGTCGTTTCAGTCAATTAAAGGGTGATTCATGTTGTCGTTGCTGTGGACCTTCTTAATACCTTGGAAAATGCCGCTTAATACTTTTTAATAGCCTTAATTTTCGCTAAATTGATTTATCAACTTTGAATATACTTTTTAAGACCCCGCGGACACCCTGGACATGAGTTAAATCACTCAGTTGCCCCTTTCACACCAACGCAGCTCCTGTTCTAGCTCTGTGCTTGCGCTCTTCTGGTTCGGAACCGGTTTTTCTTTTCAGCCCCCGTTTTGTTTACACCGCCCAGAGCCCAACTGGTGCTGCCGCTGCTGCGTCATGACGTCACCGTTTACGTCGCTGATTTTCTCCCCAACGGCGCTCACATTAACAACAATGGGGTACTGCGTCGGGTCGATGACCGTGTTACTTTTAATCATACGGAGCCAGATTAAATAAAATAACTACTTCTCAACCCTTATACTTTTCTCCAGAGTGCCGTGGTTCATTGTTTATTAATGTGATTCAGCTGTATTTACCGACCGCTGCAGTGCTGCTCGTCCACCGGAGTTTATTCTCCTGTTAACTAATTAGTATTCACTGTCTGACTGTCACACAAGCAGCTGATACATATCCCCAATTCCCCATAACGGCCCGTCCACACACAGGCATGAAAAAAATCTTTCAAAACTTCGCCCATTCACTTGAATGGGGTGACGTAGAAGATTTGTAATCTTCGCCGAACTGCATTGTGGGGAGCGGAGTATGGCTTTGCAAGCATCGTGAGCATCTAAAGTTGAGCAATGTTCAACTTTTTATGCTCCCGATGCTTTTGAAGCTGGCATCAGCCAATCAAATCCCATTTATGCAAATCCCGCCAGTACAAGCGCTAGCCAATCAAACCCATAGACTGTATATATAAATGGACGTAGGGTCCGTGACGTCACCCATAGGATTCTGCAGAGTTGCCGAGAAGCCCTTAGTAGGCGGAGTTGGTCACTAACGGCTCGACAGTGACGTCAGAGTTCAACTCCCGCCTGCTCCAAATAAGGGCAAAGAGGCGGGACCTCCTGCCACCGAGCTGGAAGTTCCAGAGCTAGCTGAAGCTACCAAGCTAAGCTAACATGCTCCCCATCTGCACACTGCCGTGGCATTTTACGTTTCTAAGGTAAGCGGACATGAAACTATTCAGCAAAACTATAAATAATAATCTAAATTATTGAGTTTTTAGCATAATACTTCAGAATCTTAAAATCCCTTAACATTTGTATGCAATTGTGCTAAATTCAAGCAAATATTAATATGTTTGCATGACATTAGTTATTTATATTTTGATATCACTTAACTATACATTTAAGTCAAGCCAAGGTACATGTGATGGTAGCTAGTTAGTACTCTTACCTGTGAGGCCTCCTCCAAACAGCATAATAACCAGACTGTATCATTAAAACTAAGTACCAGTTCTAGATCCTTGACTTTAGACAAACAATTCAAAAGACAAAATGTATTTAAAGACCAATCTTTATTTGAATATGCCTCTTAACCTGAGATATTAGTTATACAGTAATAGTATTGACAATCTAAAAAAACTGAGCAACTCAATAATCAACTTTATGTTTCTTATTGTCTGGCTACTATTGTCAGCTACAGGTTAGCTTAGCCTCAAGAGAGAGATCAGATCAGCTGCTGAGTCTGACGGAGACACGCAGCTCTGCATAATCACCTGAAGCCCCGCCCACTGTTTAGCGAGCTGAATACGCAAAATGCGTATATGAAGTGTCATGAACGCAAGAAATCATACCCTCGTGGGGGCGCGCTCATGTGATTGGCTTAGAATGAAGGAGACATCTGATTGGTTATAGATAGAAAAAATTACAAGTACGAATCGGCTGCCGGTCAGGGGAGTCTCAAAAAACCCACACACGAATGCACAGCGATCCATGCACAGAAAGTGGTTTGTGTTTGCAGGTTCAGGGGATTTAAACGGAAAACAAATATGTGAGGATCAAAAATACATATGTAAAACTTTTTTCTGTATTTGAATTTTATTTACATGTATATGAAACGGAACACATTTGTGTGTGCATTGAAAAACACAAGTATGGATCCGGAAATACAAGTGTGAATCCTTTTGCGGATCATGAAATACAAGTGTGAATCCTTCTGTGTGCACGTGTGTATTATGAGACTGTTCTGAGCCCATATTACTGTTGCATTTAACTCTATATTAGATTCTGTTGGTTTTTGTCAGAGTGTAAATAAACCAACCCACTGCTATAAACACACTCTCGACCTTGTTCTGACTTATGGTATTGAAATTGAGCAACTATTAGTCGAACCGCATAATCCTGCTTTATCCGACCATTTCTTAGTAACTTTTGAAGTACTGTTACCAGACTACAAAGCATTAGCCAAAAGCTCCTGCAGCAGAAACCTATCTGTTAGTGCTATAGCCAAATTTAAGGAGGCAGCACAGCAAACCAGGACAACACGGAGGAAAAGGCACAGACAAACTGCATGATATGCTATTCAATGTTTATTGAATTCCATGTATTTGCAATGGATGTTCCTAAAACAACACATTTAACATCATCATCATCATCATGCTGCTGCTGCTGCTAGTCCTTTGATAGTCACCTGTCGGTCTCCTGTCCTTTCTGAAAGCCATAAAGATGACATTAGTCATTTAGATAACTTGTGTCCTCAATTACCATGGGATTACTGAAACTAGATGATGATTGCTTTTATAAAAAAATTATTTATAAAAATATGAGGAGAAGTTTATGTTTAATCCGTTCGTTCTTTGGTTTTTCCGTTTCAAAACCGAATAAGAAAAAATTAAAACCAGTGTTGTTTTATTGTTTTGCTATTTTAAAACAAAAACAAAAAAACAACACCGGTTTCTATTTTTTCCCATTCGGTTTTGAAACGGAATTTACAGACCCAGTTCGAACTGCAGGTAAGTGTTATAAATATATCTGTCAGCTTATTATTCGGGAGTATCCTGGCCAGCCCGATGCATGAGTCTGTGATTGCTTCTCGGCTTGTGCAGTTACCTGCACCTTGTGCAGTTACCTGCTTTTAACCGTTTAACCGTCATGGGGCCACAAGATCAGTCAACTAACCAAAGTTAACTGTCCTTGTAGCCTAAAGCCATCACCGATGGATGCTTTTAAGTTCAGTCAACTAACCAAAGTTAGTTGGTTAGTTGCACAGACTATTGATAATTAACAGAGAAACTCAAGGGGCCTCTTTTAATATCTGGAAATTGCAACAAGACTTTCTGCCATTCAAATGTAACACACTTCTTATATATCAGGTGATATAATCTTCAATTCTTCACAAGGTGGGCTGCCACAAGCGGCTCCATAGGCGGCATGCAGAGCAAGCCGAGCTTCTCCATGCCTTCAAAGTCCAAAGAGGAGGCTCCCTGGATTGGGGCCTTGCTGCTGAAAGGGCGGTCTCTCAACGAGACAGACACCTCGTCCAGCAGCTCTGGAAAGACTGGGAGAAGCTGCCTCGTCATCCTCGCGGCTTGGGGCAAGTTCTTCCCCTCATAGCGAGATCTGGAGGTCTCCTTGGTTACTTCAGGCCAGGGGATGTCTAGCCTGGACGAAGCGCGTTGGCATACGGCCTGCAAGTCCATGCTGAGGCGGGGCGAAGTTGGCGCGCTTTCGCCTGGGGGAGCGGACACCGCCTCCGGCTTGGCAGCCTGAGCAGATGGGACGAAGATGTCATCTTCGTCTGAGTCGGATAAGAGGAACTTAGAGGTATCCTCTTCATCTTCCTCCATGTAATCCAGCTCCAGGACATCCTCCACGGGTGGAACCACGGTGAGGTCCAGTTGGGAGCCCCAGCTTGTCACAGCGCGGGGCTCCATTCCCGCGGCTGCCGCCGCCGTTGAGCCCCAGCTTGACACAGCGCAGGGCTCAACTCCCACGGTGGTCGCCACCATGCCTTGATTGCCGGCCGGCAAATCAACAGGCATGAAGGGGTCTTGTCCCGACAGGCTAGCTTGGCGCGCTAGCCGTCGGCGGAGGCTCTTGGTGGTGAAGCGGGCACAGTGTCCGCACGAACCGGGGGCGTCGATAGCCTTTCGGGCATGTTCCAGCCCAAGGCAGGACGAGCAGACCTGGTGTGAGTCCGTGCTCGAAATCTTGAACCTGCAGCCGCAGAGTCGAGCCTCCATATCCTCTGGTGTGAGGGAGAGAAGGGTCCATCCTCGCTCGCCATGGTGTCAATGTGGAGGGACAAACCAGTAACAGGTATGTTACCGTTTAAAAAAAAAACAAAAAAAAACGGCGGGGCAGATTTTAGTATTAACTGATGTGTTAATAAATCAAATCTTTGTGCGAAGTAAAAGTAGCCGGCAAGCGTCCGGCGACCGAAGGTTAGCTTGTGGTTCAGTCTGTGGACAGTTAAGCTAGCCCGGCTACTGATATTGTTGAGATGTGCTCCGAAGCGAGAAGAGGTGTTTGAAAGACGCTGCGACGTAGCGCAAGCTACTTAAATGGTGGGTGGATTCCCTGACGTAGTGGTCAAGATCACCAGCCAATCAGAATTGGCGTAATGAGATTGATGCTTCTGATGCATACACGTTGAGGCGCATCCCATAGTGAGACATCGAACGGAGTGTTATGAATGAGAACCTCCGACATCCACTACCCTGAAGAGGTACTGGGCATCCACGACAGCCAGTATTACCAAGGAGTGGGTGGACTTGTAGTTGAAGTAGAGCAGGGGTATTCAACTCAAATTCAACGAGGTCCAGTTAGAGAAAATCTCCCCATGCAAAGGTCCGGAACATCAAAATGTCGAACTTGCTTTATGAATTAGTGTGATATATATTGAAGTAGCCTGTAGCTTTATCAACGTCTGCATGCAGGGGCGCCGCCAGGGATTTTGGGCCCCATGAAAATATATCACATTGGGCCCCACCACCAGGCACAGGCCACTTTGTTTATAAATTACCTCGAGGGCCGTACCAAATGGTCTAGCGGTCCGTATACGGCCCGGGGGCCGGAGGTTCCCCACCCCTGCTTTAATATAATAACATTAGTATTAATATCATAACCAAAATGTCTGTGATTAACATTTTGTTTACAGACTGATCACTCAATGCTTCAAACTGTCCATCATCCTAAATAGACTAAAAGCAGTTTTTTGTTTTATATAAATCATTGGCTATGTGGGAAAATACTGTGTTTGAAATGTATAATTTAAATGAGATGTTAGCTTTATGTTATATATATATATATATAGTATTCCAGTCTCCCTTCAGATATGTTAGGTGGCATTCAACACAATGCTGCTCACCTCCTTCAGTTGGGAGAAAAGCTGGTTCAGGTTCAGCCTTATGGGGGGACAGGGCTGCTGAGCCTAAAGATGGATCTGTTGGTCCTAACACCAGGGGGAGGGACAACTGATTTAGTATGAATATGCGCTACAAATGTGCCTGCATTTATTAAAGGTAGGTAGGTAATTTTGGAGAAACCAGCTCGAGTGCGCTAGAATTTGAAAATACACAACCGAAAAAAATCTGCCACTTCCTTACAGAGCCCCTCCTGCAACACACACAAACGCGCACATGACCAATGAGGGCAGAGATACGTTTCTGCACAGATGGAAGGCTGACAGGCAGGTAGACCATCCAGTTATTTTAGCCGGGCCGGCTCAGATGATTGGTCGTGCTTTTTACAGCGCCACGGCTTCCACAGATGACATTTATTGTCAAAGCACTTCAGATATTCATTGCTATCGGGATGTTAAGAGCACTCCATGGAATATAACAAGAAGTGCTTCTGAAGTGAATTACCTACCATACCTTTTAAATATCATCTAAAAGAGCAGTGAAATTAAAGACCTCTGTATTTTCTGTAAAGATATTAACAGTACTTAATGTCAGCTTAGTAAACAAAAAAACATTAGCTAACAGAATCATTTCCACCACTCATGGACCACACCCACCTTTTCTTGTGGAAAAACTGGGTGACATACTGTCGCCCTTTAGTCCCTCTCTCTTGTCTTTCTCCTTTCTTAGAGCCTGACTTTGTTGGTCGTTGAAGTACAACACACGTATGTTGGCTAAGTACTAGCATCCCTCCTCACTTGCTTTCACTCTCTGCAAGTGCCGGTGCCGCACCGCGTTTGGAGGCAGGACCAAACCATTACATGTAAATAGAAGGGGGTGTACAGAGGCTTTGGGTAATTAACTTTTGGAAGAAAATAAGTTAAATGAATCGTAAGTTTAGTGAGTAATTTATCAATATAACGTTCTATTAATGTTAATTATTGAGGATTGATGAAAGGTTACTTACATTTTTTTTCTTAATGTTCTGAACATTTTGGGGCCCCTGTCAGTCACGGGCCCTTAGAATCGTCCTAACTTTTCACCCCCTTACGGCGCCCCTGTCTGCATGTAATCAACAACTGACTGCCAATCAAATAAAGAAAGTACAATTCAAAAACAACAATATTTATTGTCTATTAACATTGAACTATACAGATATACAGTGAATACTGTGGATATGTGTAATGTTCCTCTCGGGCTGCATTTATAAATAAAATAGCTTTTGAAAATGTGTGCATCTTAAAAGTGCTTAATTTTAGATAAATAAAATAAAGTGTAGCAGCAGCTTGAGTTTCCCTTTTTCTTTGTTAACCGTTTCACATCATGACTTAACAGTTTCAGACGATTATAGAACAATATCAGTCTTTACACATCATAACAATTGAACAGTTTTAAAGTTTCTCTTTCTTTCCCTCTTATATTGCAGTCCCTCACTCACTTTTCTTTAATTCAGTGCGAGAATTGAGCTCGAGCTTGTCCTGCCAGGAGTTTGTAAATCTGGGCTGAAATGGTGTCAGGGCCATTCTCATACACATGCAGGTGCTCATTTGGTTACAGTGATGCAAACTGTTAACTGTGATGGTTATTCTCGCGTCCAGGAAAGAGAAGCTTAAAAAGGAGACTAAATGGAGTCTCTGAGATGTTTTCAAATTGGTACTTTAATTAATAAAAAGGCGCGGTAAAGTCACAAACAGGATATTGTCCGACAGAAAAGCAGCTGCCTCTGGCCCTCGCTAGCAGAGAAAAGAGGCCGAACCGCCCAGGTGCTGCTGTTATATAGCTTCTGCAGGCTCCTCCCTGGGGGCCGGCTCTCCGACTATTTAATGTCCGTTGTTACACATATCACAGTATACAGACATTGTACATTCAATATATATCTAAACACTCCTTTTCTCCTCCTTAACTCTTTCATGACTTTCCATTCAACACATTCCAAACGCTGTAATCAACACTCCAAAAAATACAGGAAATCCTTCACAGCAATTCGATTTCCGGTCGCTCCGAATGTTGTGACATGCTACCCACATCTGTAAACGATAACTTACTCAAATAAACTGTACCTTCATTTAATATCCAACAATAATAATATCTCAACGTCTATAGTTGTAGTGTTGAAATCAGTAGGTTTCGGTGTGCAACATCATATCATATCGCTGCTAAATTCACCTCTATAGGAAATGGTATATTAGCCTCATGCTAAATGCTAACCGGAGGTGAAGGATTTTCAGAATAAAAGTCTAACTGGTTGTGCACAAGAACTTCTGGTTTTTCAGTATAAAACAGCATTTAAACTAAAGGTACATTTAAGGTACATTATGCCATCAAAACATTGATTTTAATTTCTAACAGTCCCTCCTTACACACCTAAAAGGTGTGTATAATACTGAAATCAATGAGTTCTTCATCTGAACTCTGCATAGTACATAACTCATATCAAAAACATACAATCAAAATGGAATGGTTCGAAAATCCTCAACTTTACAAAAATACAAAAATACTTTGACTGTGTTCAGACATAAAAGTTTTCCCTTGTGCATAACTTTTAGTGTTAACATTCAATATGGTTCTTCAAAATAGCAGCAATGGCTTGGTATCAGAACATTTCTTCCTCCCTCCTTTCACAGAAACCGTTCTCATAATACACTCAGTGTTAAGGCACTTGTTTTTACAAAGTGAAAAGAAACTACCCATTTTAGAATTGTAATGATTCGAAAATACATGAAATCTACCATATTGAACAGTGAAAAATAATAAAAATGAAATAAACTATCTTGGAATAGTATAGAGTAAATTGAAATAGAAATACACTATCTTGTAATAGTATAGAGTAAATTGAAATGGATTCACTCCATTTTAGCATTTTATTTTGCTCACTTCTTCACATGATTTCATCATTTAAAGAATCACATCGGCTGGACATTCATTGAACAACCTGGTCTCTGAACATCCATATCATTTAACATCATTCAAACTAACTCATCATTTTCATCAACATCTGTATTGGGGTGGGCCGTCTTGTTCTACTAGCATTTGTAACTGTCTCCTCATGAGAAATTTACCCTCCCTCCTTTCATATCATTTAAGGTATGAAAGTAATATGTTCTCTAGAAGAGGCCGTCGTGATCAATCGGTATTTTAGGACATGGAATGAGTGCAACATTTAGGCCTCCCCTGGGCGCCCCTATGCTATCCTTGTACCCTGGAGCCTAAACTCCCCTGGGACTGGTCTCTTAGCCCTACTGGCTTTGGGGTGGTCTGTTCTAATACAGTGATAAAGTCCCTGAAATGGTGTGAAAACCGGTGGAATATCAATAACTCATTATACTAATTTATTTTCATTTCTGGTCTACTTAAATAACTATGCTAACCTCCTTAACAGTGTGTGGAACCTTGGGTGCTCTAACAAGGACTTTAAAAACAGAAGTCATTTCATTAATGGTTTGTAGTTCAATTCAGGAATTTTCACTCATGGCAGATATGTTTCTCCTTTTAAATAACATCTCTAAATGTCAGGTCATCACTGATTAAATAGATGAGCATTAGGAGGTGGTGGCACTTGTCTTTTAAAACTCATACTCTGGTGCCGTGCGCTCCCTCTGAAGCTGTAAGTAAGATTTAAAACATCTGCAGGGTGGGTTGAGCAACCCCTTCTCCCTGAACGATATTTGTTGCTGAAAATATGCACCATTAAAATGAGTGATCCAAGGCCCTGCATGTATTACTCCCAATTGTACTAGTTTTTTCAAAATTAAAATCTTCAATCGCTCTTTGCCTAGTGTCTTTTTAAAACTCTACATCTTGGACGACAAACAAATGTTATTTCCACCTTAACAGTTCTC